AAAGAAAGAAGTAATATCGCTGTAGATGTGTATAAGAGACATGTACAGTGTTTCCTGTTTTTCAGGGTGGTGAACGTATTTTCTACGTTCTTTCGCGCTTGAAGCCTAAACGAATACATGCCACACAAACTAAGGATTACGGGATTTGTGCAGTTTCCATCTTTCATGACTTTGGCAACTATCTACCTGACGATGTTTTCCAGCGTGGAGTAACTAAGTTCATTGAGAGATTCCAAGTAAAAGACGTTGAGCCTACATTATCTAATGAGCATGTGGAGGTGGATATCGATGAATTTCACCTCGTGGTTTTGAGTGTAGCCTCAATCAAGCATCGTCGTATGTTTAAGGTAGTTAGTGCAATTTAACATCATTTATCTCTGCCACTTAACAGTACTTACATTACTTTGAATATAAATGACAAGTTTATTCATAATGGTAGATTATGGAATGTTATATTCGAAATTTGCAATGTCTAATTTTTTTTAAACAATAAAAATATGGCAATACGGGTAATCGATACATTAATAATAATAATAATAATAAATTTAGCCACTGAAAATATATCAGTTATTGGTAGCCATTGACTAGAAAATCTAGTTGGCATATTACATCTCATAATATTAATCATAATTTAAATAATGTTAGTATTAGTTTTGTTATCTATTTCTTGCAATTCTGTTAATATTTCTCTATTTTTACTATAAAGGCTTCTACATATTTTTAATTGCAATTTTTACACCATCATTATCATTATTGTCCATCATCACTATTATCATCATCATCGTCGTCATTTGTACCAATACCACCGCCATCATCATCAATACCTTAAATACCTTAATAAACAACACCATCATCATTATTGAAAAATAAAAATTAAGTATGTATATAAAAGAAATACCATTTTGCTAGTTGGAACATCAAGCACATAAAACACACACACACCCCCATAAAAAAACAGAACCACAAGCACTTGGGTATCAAAGAGCATGTCTGATACTTTACTGAAGATTGTTTATGACTGAGGCTTATTTTTGTTTTGCAGACAACAATCATCAGACGAAATATTTTCAATGCCGCTCAGCTTACCCAGGAAGATGAACCATCGCCGATAGTGTGTAAGAAGGTACTATCAATGACTTGAAACACTTAAGGAATCAGGTTTTTTTTTAATGTAATGATGTATCAATCATGTCATTAACATCAGTAGATTTACGATGAGTTTTCTATTTGCTACAGGTGTTGACATTCCTCGAAAGAGGACTAAAGATTTGTCAGAGCGGTGCAAGGGGCGTGGAATTAACAAGGTACATTGCTTGCGATTGTAGGGACGCTCACATGCATATTGTGCGCCAATTTGACATGGATGTGTTGCCATGTGGAAGCAATGGAATGGAAGTGACACGCTACCGCAGACTATTTGAAGATGACGTGCAACAACAAGGTAAATTGTGCACTTGTATAGCGGATATAGCATTGTCTAGTGTCTATACACTTTGCAGGACAACAGAACAGAACAAAACTGGAATAAATATTTGGAGAAAGCAAACCTGCAAAAATATAGAAAAGTGAAATTGCTGATCTTGTCAATTCTGATGTGGGGTGGGAACGTGCCATAGGTAGTCCATATCCACTTCAGTCCCATGGTTGGGTCGATGTCAGAGACATATTGTTCTGTTACGCATCAACAAACCCTTTTTGGCTCAGGGTAGAGCGAGGTCACTAGGCCTACTGGTCCATGGGTAGGGATACCAAAGGTGCCCCTATGGATCAGTGGCCCTGCAGACCGTCGCACGTCAGTGCATAGGCGTTACACCACTGATCATAGAAAGCTGTTCTAAAAACCTGAGTGCTATATTCTGTAATAATGGCTGAAAACTCCGTCTTAGGTCTCCGTCTTTTGGCCTTTTTTCCATACTGATTTATGAAATCGTTGAAAAATTTCGGCATCAGGGATATGCGTTGTATTCTTCATCAATCAATAGAAAATTCAAAATTAGTGAGTGGTAAATAATCGAGCTCTCATTTCGCCCACTGCTGGATTCGCCACTGAACTCATGGGTACACTTATTTTCCCCCTCTTTCTTCCTTTAAGTCTTCTCAATTTTTTTCTCTTTTTTATTTTTCGGCAGAACTGACAGGGATGGGGAGACGGGCCCCGTGGCTCCCCCGCTGGATCCGTCCCTGTGCGAAAGGAGGTATAGCTTGGTGGGGGAGGGCTTATTACCTAATAGCTTTTGAGCTACCTGAAAATTAGCGTTTAGTTTGTTCTCATCCTGCATTTGAATAATTTTAGTTTAGTATTAATCAATAAACTGTAATCATCATGTCGTGTTACAGCTAACTGAGAAAACAAATATATCAGTATTGAGAAAAAAAATAAAGATTTTGACTGATTTGTTTTCAAAAACACAAAACAATCGCTCTTAAATTATCCCCGTAAACAATGTTAATATTGACAAAAAAAGAAAGAAGTAATATTTGCTGTCGTAGAAATACAGATTTTCCTTGATACACACAATAGGGGCTTATATATAATATTATGATATGATATAATATATAATTATGACATATTAAATGGACTGCTTGTTGTGTACTATTTTCTTCCCTTTTTAAGTCTCATAGAATCTATGTATGAGGTATATAAACCAAATACAGACTGCTTAATTTTCGTGGAACGGTGACATCTAGCCCCTTAGTGATGTGGAAACCGTAGCCTATCTTATTGGCTACGGATCTTCACATTACCTCTGGGCAATAGATTTCTCATTCCCCTCATGAGCAGTCAATATTTATATAAAATTATTTTTTTCCAGTCCAGCCAAGTCGGAGAGTCACAAGGGCTCGCAAAGGACAGCGCACAGACAAAGATAACATGCTAAAACAAGGTAAATTCTGTTTATTTATTAATTTAATTTATTAATTTATATATTACCTCACACTGGCAAATATACAATACAATTACAAATGAGCTAAAGCTGCCGGTTCCAAAAAGGGCCAACAGGTGAATAATGAAGGCACCACTGATACCGGCCAATCCCGAACTGCACAGGTAACAAGAGAAAAAAAATCAAGAATACAAATAAAATGTCAAACTAAAGTTAGAACATTAGAACAAATATGTCACTATTAATTCTAAAAGAATAGAAACCCTTCGACAGCTTGGCTTTTGTAATATCATTTTAGAAAGACACAGTTATATTAGTGCAAAATGTTTGGAAAAAAAACGTACAAGTGTCTGTCCTAGAGTAAAAAGTATGTTGATCACAACAATAAATGAACACAAAGGTAAGTTGACAGAATGTTAAAATAGACCTACAGGTTTGAAGGCAATTTCATGTAAACAATGGTAATTATTTTGCAAGCATTGAGGCTGTGGAGTGTACTGCCTAATAATGGTACGTTTCTATATGATATGATGCTCCAATTTTGTCATGGTTACTTTAGATTTTGTAGATGACGCCGTAATTGCGACTGTGTCTGAGGAAATGAACTACAGCTGGAAAGGTTTTGGTGTCCGTTTAGGTGTTTCATGGGCTAGAGTTAACCGGTTTTGTGCTGAGGAACGGCGGGACTCACAAAAAGCTATCGCTAATATGATGAAGTATTGGAGAAACAATGTCAAAAATGAAACGCATCAACTGAAAGTGTTGTGCATTGCTTTGAGGCAACACAAATACAAGAGACTAGCTGGGGAATTATTCAGTGGTGATCTCGGCGACGAAATTCTGACCTTAGCCAAACATGAAGGTGAGTTGTAGTGAGAGGTAAACCAGTGATGGCGCCAGGATCCGCCCAACGGGGGGTGCTAAAAGCCCCGACTGGGTGGAGCTAGGCGAGCAAATGAGTCTTAATTGGCTGGGGGTTGGGGGTAGCTGGCTAGGGACCACTGTGGGGGCTACGGACATTTGACAAATTTTGGTGAATTTTTATTAGTTATTTGATATCAAGCTACCGTAATATGACATCATGTATGTTTTTTAATGTTCCAAACCGAAAATATTTGGATAAAACAACGAGAAACAAAGAGTATGCAATGTAACCAACTAACTTATTTTTAAAATCCGTTTTACATTTTATATTATTAAAAAAAAAACAAAAAAAACAAAAACACCGTATTACATTACAATACTATCCTCAGGCTCCATCCTAGAGAAATCTAGGTATTTCATAATTCATGTGATTGTGAATTATTAACAAAATTACGAATACATTAAGAATAATATCTTACTGTAAATTGTAAGTCCACCAATTTGTCACATTTATACTACGATAAATTAAGAAAAAACAATGTCACCGGGAACGTCACAGTAGGCCTATAAGCGTTTAATTCAAAGTGAAGCTATATATTGGAAATTTTGCCTGAAATCTGTAAACCACGAGGTTGCTTCCCCGATTAAGATGTATTCCAAGCATCATGAGAGGATATCCAAACGAGCATTTGTCATAGTAGAACGTAAACCATTTTTAATTAGTCCCATTGAACAAGGGCGGATCCAGAATTTTTCAAACGGGGAGAGGGGCATTTGTATTATTTTTTTTATTTCAATACATAACAGTAATATGCACTGACATTTTAAAATATAGTTTCAAAGCACTGTTTTGACACTTGACACTGTTCTGCTGACTTAGTTCCAATAGATGTTCAAATGTAATTAATTCATTGTGAAAAAAAAAACCTGTTTCATGGGCTTAAATCAATGTGAAAAGTAATATATACGGTAGTCGGATAACTTACAATAAAACGGCACGTAAATTTATGTTATATTATTATTATTATTACCGTATTATTGTTTTTGTTACGGTATTATTGTGATGAAAAGTTAACAGAAACGGTACACAAATAGGTCAATGAAGGCGATATGGTTGCTAAACGAACAGACATGTAAATATATTTTTTAAAATTTTTGTTATTCCCCTAACCCTAACCCTAACCCCCGACGAGGGGGAGCTTAGCCCCCACCAGCCACCACTGAGGTAAACTAAAGATTGAATTAAAATTGCATAAAAATGTTTTTATCCATATAGAAATTGTTGCACTTACGATTGAATCAAAGAGTTACTCATGAGACGTAATTGTGTTGTTATCTGTATTTCTACCAAACATTGCATAATACCACTAAGAATGACAGTATTCTTTTTCTCAGGATACTTGGCTGATGTTGACTTGTTATTCGTCGCCGAGAGACTTGGCGTGGACTGGAGAGCGTTTGGTATCGACATCGGTCTGAAGGATCATGAAATGCAACAAATTGAGATGAGTTTTCCACCACCACCTATTGTAGACGCCATTTTAGAAATGTTGGTCGAGTGGCGTGAAAAGCAGGAACCTCAAGAAAACTACCTCGCAAAGATGAGTAATGAGTTGGAAGCTTTCGGAAAACGAGACATAAGTGAAGAACTCAACAATTATTACCAGGAAAAATATCAGTAAAAATGAATGGAAGTAAAATAATTAGAAGGGTATGTGTAGAATGTTGATATGGGTACACGTTTAAAAGAATGAACATGAAACTCAATTGTGTTCAATAAAATATACCGTGACATACAGTAAACCCCAAATAAAAGCCCTGAGGTTCTACTGTTTTGTTTGTTTTATTTTTTTGCTAACTTTAGGTGGATTCTTTTCTTTGCAAAGTAAAGAGGGCGGGGTGCTTCTTTAAATGCTGTAAATTTTAGGAACTACTATTATACAACAGTAAAGGGCCACTGTAACATCACTCTGTATCATGGAGTGTACAAACCGGAATTAAATCACCTAAACTACTGTATAAAACAAGCGTGTTTTAAATTTATGTTGTTTTTCTGAAATTCCGTTATGTAACGTCGGCTTAAAATCTCGAAAAGAAGCCCATGCTATCTTGAAAGCGCTTCTTTTCAAGGGGGAATGGGGGTGGGGTGGCCTCAATTCGAGATGGTATTTATCTCAAGATTAAGTCCATTTGGCTTCTAGTCGAGGTTTTACGGTAAATTAATAATTAAACCGAAAAAAGAGTATTATACACGGAAAATAATCTATAACAATACCTGTTAAACTGTTTAAAATGTTGAACAAAATATGTAAATATATATTTTATACATATATAGTTTTTGCATACATGCAATAACACACACACATGTGTATTATGTATATATTAATACTATAATATAATGTAATACATAATATTATGTGTTATGTGTATTATGTATATATTAATATTATTGGTTGAACTAATTCTATGGCAGTCACTTTTCTAATAATGATGCTTATAATACTACAGTATGTGTATTTTTTTAAATTATCTTTGAATGATTATACTGCATTATACATTTATTAGTATAAATTTAAAAGTGTATATTATGTCTTTATGTATAACCTAATATTTAAAAAATTGTTGACGTAAAAGGGGGTTCGAGAAAATCATATTTAAAACGTAAACGATAATCTTAATAAAAATAGTCATTATTCTTTATATGAATGATGAATTGATTTTAAAAAATGATTGATAAATTATAAAAGTACTTTAAGAAAATTTACTATAACAACAGTTAAACATTTCGATCACATGTTTAAGAGCGCTGTTTAGTTTATGGCCAAACAAATTACTTATAGTATGGTTTAATGATAATAATAATAATAATAATAATTTAAACAGTTCGTAAATGAAATCTGAAAAAACCCCTTAACGTCGCTCATGTTTTTTCATAACTGCTTACGTATCAACCTACTGTGATAGAAGCTCTTGTACATTGAACGCTTAATGCATACAGCATCCGGAGTAACTTTTGTGTTTCGCAATATCTTTACGAATGACGTCGGCGACGTCTATGGTGATAGTCATGATGTTATAGCATAAAATTGCCAAAATATATAATAAAAGTACATAATTTTTATTGAAGAACTTTCAATTTTTTGTATCAAGTATGTAAATCTGTAAATATCTTTGTCCAACGTCAATGCAATACAGCCAGGGGAGATACTCATCGTAACGCCACTAACTTTATTGAAGTGGCGTTGGGGGCCGATGGGCCGTTTCCAATCCAATAGTACCCCTCGTATTCTGGTATCTTCTATTAGCTTCACGACGTTGGCATGAAGTGCATTCCATCCATTTCCACCTTTTTGAGAAAAGAGATGCTTTCTCAAATTTAAGGCTTTTTAAAATTCTCAACTATGACCTTTTGTAACCGAACCAACTGAAAAAACAAATCTCTATCGATATTCTTTTTTCCATTTAAGATTTTATAGTTCTCGATTAAGTCCTCATAGTTCCTCTTGCTCGTGAAGTAGTTAAATTCTAAGACGTTTTTCATAAAATGTTCATACATTTGGGAATTTTGGTTACACGTCTTTGGACCCTCTTTTCTAAAAAAATTATATCTTTTCTTAACTCTGGAGAATATTTGGACTGGACTGAAAATTCAATAGGGCTAATACTTAACAACAATACAAAAAGAAAGGAAAGGTGCACAGAATTATCAATTATCGAATACCATAGTATATTATTCTTAAAGTCGCACACAAACACAAGTCTTACGTAATTCACAAGAAATAAATAAATAAATAAATAAAATAATTATGATGTTGATGATGATGATGTTGATAATAATAGTGGAGAAAAGATGCTACAATTTCGCATACAAGCACTCAGTGTATCTACAAATAAGACCATCGCTTAACCAAGAATTACCCAGGCTCAACATTTGCAACTTCAGTAATGGCATTTCAAAAGTTTAGATCAATCATATGAATACACATCAAGAAATTATATGACCTGCGTCTGCTCACAAGACCCCACTGTTCCCCCTCTCATTATCCCATGTGTTCCCTCACATGATAAAATCACCTTATCAATTTACGATGCTATTATTTCAATTGTTATATCATTATTCTTAGTACAGTATTATGCGCAACAATGAAATACCTGGCCATACTCAATCAGTCTGCAGGCCCGTACGCGGGTGGGTGGGGGAGATGGGGTGGGTATGACGGGTGCGCACCTCTCCCCTCCCCAATTGCCAAAGGTCCATATTTTCCGAGTTAGAAAATTCAGGTCACACTATCTCACGTCCCAGAAAACCATCCACCGAAACTCCTTGACCTATCAGAGCAATGACTCGCTGTGTGCAAACTAATCTGTGCTAGACAAGCGACATCGTACTGACGTAGAATCAAGCACTAAATGTCTTTTTTTGGGGTTTTTGCACAGTGATTTTTGATATCTTTCGAAATAATTATGATTATAAATTGGAAGAAATGGATCAGTTTGTGGCTGTGTACCAGTTGGATCTTCCTTTCGAGTGAATTATACTGTAGTCTTGCAGCCCAGGTACCGGTTCAAATCGCGACGACGGGAAACCACCAACCCGTGAAAATCACATACAGTCGTGAAGAGCTGCTGCAACTAAGGCCTAGTAGATCTAGGCCTAGTACAGGTGGGCCTAGCAACTTGAACCTCAATTACTACACAAAGCCACGGAAAAGGGGACGAAGGGGAGGTATTAAGGTGAGACTTAGAAGATTAAATCGTCTTCCATTACCTACTATTATCTTTGGAAATGTCCAGTCCCTGTGTAATAAACTTGATCAATTGGAAGCATGTATGGCAGTACAAGATTTTAGAGAGTCTAGTCTACTGTGCTTCACGGAAACGTGGTTTAAAGATAAGCATACCAATGCAAATGTTAGTATTGATGGGTTCTCATGCCAACGTGGAGATAGAGATTTGGAGGCTCTAGGGACTGTCTCTTATACACATCTAGATGTGTATAAGAGACAGGTATTTAATTGAATGCTAGTTGGGCTAAGCCTATATATATAATAGGCCTACACATTCTTTATAAAACATAAAGTAACCTAATTTTCTGATAAACAAATTAAATAACATTAATTAAATAAAATATATTTAATGATATAGGCGTATTTGCTACCAACCGTAACACACAATTTGAAATAAAAGTAGGCGTATGATGACATAATTAATGTCGAAATATTGAATCCCAACACGATGGCGTGTATTTCAATACTTGGAGTATGTATTATACTTTCTTATCTGAGATTAATCAGTGGACCT